TTTTTCTGTTCAGAGTGAACCTGGCCAGTGCCTCTGCAGTTCCTCCTCCTCTTTTCCTCCCCTCCTGGATCCACAACCTGCAGCAGCTCTGAGAGGTGGGCCTGGGCTGCAGGTACAGACCCGGAAGTGCCCAGCCAAGATGCTGGAGACTGGACAGCTCCTTACCTAGCTCAGTCCCCTGCCCAATGCCTGCTCTAGGCCACTCATTGCCAGTGCTGGGCAGTATGGGAATGAGGAGGATGCCAGGGCACGGGCAGGCTGAGCTGCAGTGTGGTTGTGCTGGAGGGGGCAGAACCCAACTTGGCTGGTGTCTTACCATGGCTTTGCTTAGTAGGGTACTTGGGCCCATTACCCAGCTTGTGGGATCCTTGAACCTGAATCATCTGCAACATGGGAGGGTTAGGGACTAGGATGTTTCAAGCCTGTTTATCTTCTTCTTCCTCTTTTTTTTTTTAAGGTTTATTTATTTTTGTTGGAAAGTCAGATATATAGAGAGGAGGAGAGTCAGAAAGATCCTTGCATTGGTTCACTCCCCAAGTGGCCGCAATGGCCAGAGTTGAGCCAATCTCAAGCCAAGAGCCTGGAGCCTCTACCAGGTCTCTCACGCGGGTGCAGGGTCCCAAGTCTTTGGGCCGCCTCTATTGCTTTCCCAGGCCACAGCAGGGATTTGGATGGGAAGTGGGACCTCCGGGATACGAACTGGTGCCCACATGAGATCTTGGTGCTTGCAAGGCAAGGATTTAGCCACTGAGCCATCGCAGGGGACCCCAAAACATCGGGTATGCTGCATGCTGGGGTGGGGAGTGTGGACAGGCAAGGTCTGACCAGATCTCTGAAGGGAATGGGGAGGGACTGTAAAAACAGATCAGGAGCTGAGCACTTGGATGAACCACGTTGGTGGAGCCGACACAAGTGTTGTTCCCAAAGCAAATTCCAGGAACACATGGCAAGCTGTATGTGGAGCTGAATGAGGGTGGTAGGCAAGGGGGGCCAGGGAAGAGAAGCACCTTGGAGTGCATGAAGCAGGGCAGGAGGCATGTGGGATCTGTGTGTTGATGCAAGAAAAGGGGTATGTATTTGAAGTGCTCAGAGGGGGCGGAGCCAGGGCTGTGGGTGTAGGGTTCCTGGGAAGCCGAATCTCGGTTGGGTTACAGGCTGGAGGTTTAGTGGCTGGGATGAGCCCTTCCTGCTGCTGAGAGCTAAGGCTGGAGGGTGATAGCCAGAGCAGGGAAAGGGGCACCCGGTGACCCCAACCCTGGGCACACGTGCTCTCCCCGCCTGGGCTGGAAAGCCTGGGAGGACAGACCCCTCCCTCCTAGATCTTGGGGGAATGGAAGAGGGTAAGGGGCGTGTGAAAAGAATGCGAGCCTAGCTCCTGTCCCTGTGCGCCACCGCCACCTCACTGGGTGACCTTGAACAAGTGCCGCGATTTCTCTCAGTCTGTTTGTTTATAAAAGTAGGGGAGAACTGGCATGGGTTTAGAAACGGTCATCATCGCTCAGGCTCCTGGAATTTCAGGTCCTAAAATTCCGTGATTGCCCACCTAGGACGCGCTCCCTCCTTTTAAGGGGGATTGGGGGAGAAGCTGGAGAGGCTCCAGGTTCAGCGAGCAGCGCAGGAGCCAGAGGCCCAGACTGCTTCCGGCAAACCCCTGCCCTCGGAAAGAAACTTTGTGGGGAGACTGGGGGTGGGAAGAAGCCTGGGGGTAGGTGGTGTTGCCCCCGTGTCTCGACCGATACCTTGCAGGGCGGGGGGGGGGGCCGGGGAGGAGGAAAGCGGGTCAGGTGCACAAGCAGCGCCTAGGGCGGAGGTGGGGGTGCAGGGGCCCGCCCTGCAGGTCTAGTAACGGCCCCGGGGCGACACCCCAAGCCTCCGGGGAGGGCCTGGGAGGGTGCAGAGGCGGGGCCGGGCGTCCAGGGATCCGGAGGCACCAGTCGCGGTAGCAGCAGCGGGACGGCGAGAAGATCCTTGCAGGGGAAGCCCTGCGGCCGCGGCTCGAGAGCGCCCTCCCCTCGCGCGCTTGGCCCTCCGGTGGTGGCCGGGTTATTTCGGACTTAGGGCGCCCCCCGACCCGGTTCTGGATCCGGCCGGTGGGGAGCCTGGTGGGCCCGGGAGCTGCTATTTTTAGCCGGGCGCGAGGAGCCTATTTTTAGATCAAACAATCCGCGCTCCCTGCGTCAATGGAACCCCGCGTGCGTCACGCGCACAGACATTCCAGGCCCCCCCCTCGCCCCGCCTCCTCGGGCTCCCCGGTCCTGCGCCTCCCCCTGGCCGCCTCCCGCCGGAACCGCGCCGCCCCCCGCGCCCTTGTATGGCCAAAGCTTGCCGGGCCGCGTGCGTCAGTGGCGCCCCCGCCCCTCCCCGTGCGTCACGGAGCGCTTAAGAGGAGGGTCCGGCGCTCCCGGGGAGCCCCAGTGGCAGAGCCTACCAAAGTTGGGGGAGCGTGCGGAACGGATTGCAGGAGCACACGCGGGGAACCAGAGCTGCGATTCGGGCGGCTGGTCCGGGACAGGGCGAGCCGAGGGCGAGCTGGAGCCGGTCGGGTAGGTGCCTTCCGCGGTTAGCATGCATCTGTGTTGAAGGGCTGGTGCACGGGAGCGATGGGGGTACGCGCGGGCAGGAAGGCCCCGAGGGGGTTAGTTGTTGCAGCCGGCTGAAAACCTCCATGTGCCTGGAATCTACGGGTGCTAGAGGTGCCAGTACAGAACGTGCACGGTGGAAGCCACAGGCTTTGGACTCGCCCCCCGCCCCCGAGAGTGGGGGACTTGACCCCAGTGGACACATGGTACTCTCCACTGGGTACAGATGGGGGATCTCAGTAGAGGAGGGGATGCACAGCTTGGGTGCTGCTGGGATCCGCAGGTTCCAGCCAGTACTATATTTCCAGAGGTCTCTTTCCTCCTAACCTGTCAGAGCTACTCCTCCTGGTTCAGCTTTTTTCTTAGCCACTTAGTTAGACAGCACTCCCCACCCCTGTGTGAGGAGGTCTCTGTTAACGTGGGGATATGGGTAGTTTGGTGACTGGGCAGTGCAAGGTGCTCAGGGACAGGGGCAAGGTGTCTGCAAACACAAGAAGGATTGTTTCAGCTGTGGCTTGGAGTGTGTGTTTATGAGAGAGAGAAATGCTTGTTCTGGCGGATCCTGCGTGGAAGTTGCCAGCACTGGAGTTTTGGTGTGGTGTTCCCTAGTGGACCCTGCCCCTTTTCTGGCCCTACTTGCTGATTGCCCCCAGTTTCCAGTAGCCCCTGTTGGGTCTTAAAAGCTAGGGTGCAGTCTGAGGCTTGTCCAGTGTAAGCAGGTGCAAATCACCTTGTTGCCAGGACCTGCCTGAAGCCGGATTCTCTCTATTCCAGCGTTCAACCCCACCTCTTCCTCCTCCCTGTGGGACTACCTTCCCCCACCCTCCCCTCCCTGAGGCTAACATGTAAGTCCATATCTTGTGTTCAGTACCTGCGTGAAGGGGTGTGTGTTGTGTGTGTGTGTGTGTGTGGAGGGGGGAGTTGATTGGTGGGGGTTGATCCGGATGTGGGTAGTGCCAAGGGAGAAACAGGATTTGAATAAGGCTGGAATGAACGCCCAGTTCTGCCTGGCTGCCCAGCCTTTCCTCCTCCACCCCCAACCCATCCCTGCCCAGGCTGTCCCTGGGGCGGGCAGACGTGGCCACTCTTATCTCTGGCAGGTGCTGTAGTTCTGGGCACAGGTGTCACTGGATGGGTGGAGCTTGAACTTTGAGGGGCTCTGAGGTCCCCAGTCGGTTTTCTGAGTGTCAGGCTGGGATAGAGCAGGCCCGGGGGGCCCCTTGGAGGTTGAAGGGGGGCGAGGATCAGGCCAGCCTTGCTGGGCTGGTGGCCAGGGCAGTGGAGTGGTGACGGCCTTTGTCCTCGTCGCTGTCCCCTTGGTTTTGGTACTTTCTGCGCTGGCTCCATTTCCCCTCTCAACTCTAGTTCCCTGCCTTGGCGAGGGCAGAGGTGGGCACATCCCCAGCATGGAGGTGCAGATGGAGAGTGTCCTGGAGTTTCCAGGGAGGTGCTTGGTGACCACTCAATGATTTCAAGGTTCCCCTGAGTGATGCCATGTCTGCCGCTCGGGCTCCATGGGGTTGGGGGCCGGGTGGTCCCCTTTGCCTGGCCGCTGGATTCTTTAGGGCACAGAGCTGCCTTCGAACTCTTTGTCTCCCCTCCCCCCGGGTCCTGTACCTCAAGTCTCCCACTGTATCCACATTAACAGATCTCTCAGCACAATAGCAAGAGTAACAGAGAAACTTCTCAGAGGGACCCAACCTTGCTCCTGGGCCTGGCAGTGGAGGAGGGGCTGAGTCTCCTCCCGCTGCCCCCGCCTTGTGCCCCCTCCTGCTAGGATATGGCCTTTAAAAGTGTTTTGCCGGGTTACTTGATCCCTTGGGGAAGCTGGGCGCTCTTCCTCTCAGCCTCTGAGAGCATCCCAGGCAATGCCAGGCGTGTGCCCAGCCCCAGATGGCAGGCCTGGGGGGGTGTGCGTGGGCTGTGCCGCCTGGCCTCGGTATGCAGGCTGGGGCTGGGACGAGTCCCGTGCATTGCTGCCTGGGGCCCCTTCTAGATGGGGTGAACCATACCTCCAGTTCCTCTTCCATTTCTAGAATGTGCCATTGTTCAGCCCTGGGAAGCTGTGGGGTGGGGGTTCTGCCATGGTTGGATGTGCCTGGGAATATGCCCAAGGAAGTATCTGGTTGGAGGCACAGCATATCTGCACCACCCCCCACCCTTGGCGTGGGGTGTTGGGGCTGGGCTGAGACTTTGTAAGGTTGACTGTCCCACCCAGCCTTCTCCCAGCCCGCACCCACGCCTTCCTTGCTTGAGGAGGGGCAGGGGGCCTGAAGAACACAGCTTCTCCCTGTTCCCGCAGAGAAGTGCTGGCTGTGTGCCTTGCCTGGGGTTCCCAGGCCGGCTGGGTGTGGCTGGGCTGCCCACAGATCCCACTCTGGCTAGGGATGGGGTGGGGCGTCGGGGGATGCTGGGTGCTGTAACCCTTGTGCCTCAGTGTCCCTTCATTGGGCCGCAAAAATGGCTGGCTACCCTGGGCTGAGCCCTGGAGCCCAAGCTTTGTTCACTGATTCTTCATCCCCTGCCCCTCTAACCTCTGCAGATATGCCCTGTATCCAAGCCCAATATGGGACAGCGGCGCCAAGCCCAGGACCACGTGACCATCTGGCAGGAGACCCCCTGACCCCCGAGTTCACCAAGCCCGCCATGGACCTGGCCAGCCCTGAGGCGGCCCCAGCCGCCCCCACTGCCCTGCCAAGCTTTAGCACTTTCATGGACGGCTACGCGGGAGAATTTGACACCTTCCTCTACCAGCTGCCGGCGACGGCCCAGCCTTGCTCCTCTGCCTCCTCGTCCTCCTCCTCCTCCTCTTCGGCCTCCTCCACCTCCTCGTCTTCAGCCACCTCCCCCGCCTCTGCTTCCTTCAAGTTCGAGGACTTCCACGTGTACGGTTGCTACCCCGGCGCGCTGAGCGGCCCCCTGGACGAGACCCTGTCCTCCAGTGGCTCTGACTACTATGGCAGTCCCTGCTCGGCACCGTCACCATCCACCCCTAGTTTCCAGCCCCCCCAGCTCTCTCCCTGGGACAGCTCCTTCGGCCACTTCTCCCCTAGCCAGACTTACGATGGCCTGCGGGCATGGACAGAGCAGCTGCCCAAGGCGTCGGGGTCTCACTCCGTTGCCCCGCCGCTGCCGACAGCACCGGCCTTCTTCTCCTTCAGCCCCCCGGCTGGCTCCAGCCCCAGCCCCAGCCTGGCCCAGAGCTCCCTGAAGCTGTTTCCATCATCCCAGGCCACCCCCCAGCTCCGAGAGGGGGATAGTTATTCCATGACGGGGGCTTTCCCAGGCCTGGCACCCACCTCCCCGCACCTTGACAGCTCGGGGATGCTCGATGTGTCTGCAACTTCAGCCAAGGCCCGGAGTGGGGCCTCCGGAGGCAGTGAGGGCCGCTGCGCGGTGTGTGGGGACAACGCCTCCTGCCAGCATTATGGTGTCCGCACCTGTGAAGGCTGCAAGGGCTTCTTCAAGGTACTTGGTTGCCCCGGGCTAGGCTTCCTAGAGCAGGAGAGGCTGGTGGCTCAGCAGTGGTGGTGGTGGGGGAGGTGTTTACTCCCAGCTCAGCCTGCCGGAGGACCCCCTTCCTGGTGGCCTGGTGCCTAAGGGGCCACAGAGAGCTGGCGGGAGGGAAGGAGGGAGGTAGTCCAGGAGGGGGCATCTGAGTGGCTGGCCTCTGACTTGCCCCTTGCTGGCCCTGCTCTCCAGCAAGGGCCTCGTGGGATGGGGTGCCCCAGGCGCTCGTGGTCCTGGCATGAGATCAAAGAATCTGGGTAGAGAGGATTTGGTTCGTGAGGGCTGGGGGTGGACCCAGGAACAAGCTGTGTTTGTGTCCCCCAGTGCTGGGGGCCTGCTCAGCTTCCGGTCTCCACCTCCAACCCCAGCCCCACGGCCTCTCCTTGGTGCCCTCTGGGGAAAGGACAGACAGACACAAGCGCATTAAGAAGGTGCAGGTGTCAAGACTGTAGGGTCCCCATCTCCTGTCCTAGGGGGTCTTCCTCTTAAGACAGAAGTCTCAAGCACCCCGTCTCTTAAGATTTTTTCCCCACTCCCCACCCCCACCCGTCCATCTCTTCCCTTCCTTGCCACCCAAATGTTAGAAAAATAGCGACGAACAGAGGGCGCTTTTGTCTGCCATGGCAGCAGGATCTGGATGGGTCCCCTCCCCTGGGCTCCCCCCCACTCTGACAGCCTGTTCCGTGTTGTCCCCCTCCCCCACCCAGCGCACAGTGCAGAAAAACGCCAAGTACATCTGCTTGGCGAACAAGGACTGCCCTGTGGACAAGAGGCGGCGGAACCGCTGCCAGTTCTGCCGCTTCCAGAAGTGCCTGGCTGTGGGCATGGTGAAGGAAGGTGGGTGTCTGGGCCACAGTCCAGTGCGGCCAGGGGCAGGGTGGAGTCCCCAGGCAGGCCTGTGTGTGCTAGGATGCCCACTGTGGGGCCGTGGGGCTGGACCCCCGGAGGTCCGGTGGGAGGCAGCCTGGATCGTGTGGGTAGTGATGGTGGAGGTGGGATGGGGCGGTGGTCCTTGGGGTTGGGGAGGGGTCGTCTTGGCAGTGTGAGGAGCACAACCTCTCCCCTCCCCTTATCCCTGGTCTGTTTCTCCACAGTTGTCCGGACGGACAGCCTGAAAGGACGGCGGGGCCGGCTGCCTTCGAAACCCAAGCACCCACCAGATGCCACTCCTGCCAATCTCCTTACTGCGCTGGTGCGGGCGCACCTGGACTCAGGGCCCAGCACAGCCAAGCTGGACTATTCCAAGGTGAGGCGGGCAGGTGCAGTGCCTTGGTGCCGTTCGTGAGAGGCCGGCTCTGGGTGGACAAGCTGGGAAAGGGGGATTGGGAGTCAGCTGGGTTGATGAGAGAGAAGTGAGCATGCCTTTGGGTGGCCAGCCCCAACCCTACCTGGTGGATCCGTGAGAGCTGGGCCTGATCTTGGATCAGGCGTCCCCAACTTGGGACACTGACTCCTGGGGGACTGTTCACCCAGTTCCAGGAGCCGGTGCTGCCCCGCTTTGGGAAGGAGGACGCTGGGGATGTGCAGCAGTTCTACGACCTGCTCTCCGCGTCCCTGGAGGTCATCCGCAAGTGGGCTGAGAAGATCCCTGGCTTTGCCGAGCTGTCGCCGGGCGACCAGGACCTGCTGCTAGAGTCGGCCTTCCTGGAGCTCTTCAGCCTCCGCCTGGCCTACCGGTGAGCTGCTGGCCGCCAGCTCCCGGGCCCCCTTCCCCTGCTGGCCCTGTCTTGGGCCCTTGGGACATCTCCCCTCCCCCAGCGAGCCCTGACCAGTCCTTCTCTGTTCTGCATTTCCTGCCGCTTGCCAGGTCTAAGCCGGGCGAAGGGAAGCTCATCTTCTGCTCCGGCCTGGTGCTGCACCGGCTGCAGTGTGCCCGTGGCTTCGGCGACTGGATCGACAGCATCCTGGCCTTCTCGAGGTCCCTGCACGGCCTTGTGGTCGATGTCCCTGCCTTTGCCTGCCTCTCTGCTCTTGTGCTTACCAACGGTGAGCGCTCAGCACCAGGCTGGGTCCCAGGAGGTGGCTGGCATTTGGGGGTCCTGGAGCCTCTGGTCTACAGGAGCAGGACCTGGATTCCTGGCTGCTTGGGGAGTGTTGGGGGCTCACCAGCTGCTTCCAGCTCCGAAGCCTAAGCCAGCCTGCAGGTGGCACGTGGCTGGCCTAGGGTTTTAGTGTTGTGAGTAGCCGGCACCTTGGCCAGCTCCTCGTCCCCTCCACCACCCCAGGGTCCTTCCTTGTACCTCTGTGTTAGTTCCAGCCGCCCCCAGAGGTTGCCACTGTAGTGGCTTCAGGCCGCACAGATGAGCCCTGCATGTTGGGGCTCCAAGTGACACATTGCAGTTGCTCAGGGCAGACTCGGGGTTCTGTGTAGGGGTTTCCGGTCTCTGCTCCTTCAGGTACTGGAGTCCACCTTCCCCTCCCCTGGCCTTTCTTTGACATATATGTTACATGGGGCCCAGTCATGTAGAACAAAATTGGAGGTACTCTGGGCTGGAGAGAGGGCGCAGGGAATTCTGTAGGCTCTCCTGGAAGGTGTCAGCTTGAGGTACGGGTGGGGAGTGTCGAGCCCCTGGACCATACAGAACCCCTGAATCCATTTGGTCTGGCCCTGCCAAAGCAACTGCATTTAGGACTCAAACTTCAATAAGTGTGTAGCAGGCTCATTTATTTATTAAAAATTTTTTTTTTTACTGTGACTTACTTGAAAGGCAGTTACAGAGAGTGAGACAGTGAGAGATGCTTGCACCTGCAGGTTCACTCCCCAAGTGGTCACAAGGGCCAGGCCAGGGTGGGCGAGGACTGGGCCAGGGACTCCACCTGGGTTTCCCTTATGGGCATCAGGGGCCTGAGCACTTGGCCATCTTCTGCCTGTCCAATATAGGAGCAGGGAGCTGCATGGGAAGCAGGGTAGCTGCGACTCAAGCTGGCATTCATATGGGATACCCACCTCTACTGCATCTCAGGATCATTTTTTTTTATAAGATTTATTTATTTTTATTGAAAAGTAAGATATACCAAGAGGAGAGACAGAGAGGAAGATCTTCCATCTGATGGTTCACTCCCCAAGAGACCGCAACAGCTGGAGCTGAGCCAATCTGAAGCCAGGAGCTTCTTCTGGCTCTCCCATGCGGGTGCAGGGTCCCAAGGCTTTGGGCTATCCTCAACTGCTTTCCCAGGCCACAGCAGGGAGCTGGATGGGAAGTGGGGCCACTGGGATTAAAACTGCAACCATATGGGATCCCGACGTGTTCAAGGGAAGGACTTTGGTCGTTACACTGTGACTCCGGGCCCTAGGCTCATTGTTTTTTCCAAGTTGTATCATGGGCCCGGCGGCGTGGCCTAACGGCAAAAGTCCTCGCCTTGAACGCGCCGGGATCCCATATGGGCACCGGTTCTAATCCCGGCAGCTCCACTTCCCATCCAGCTCCCTGCCTGTGGCATGGGAAAGCAGTTGAGGACGGCCCAAGGCTTTGGGACCCTGCACCCGTATGGCATACCCCGAAGAAGTTCCTGGATCCTGGCTTCGGATCAGCATAGCATTGGCTGTTGCACTCACTTGGGGAGTGAATCATTGGACGGAAGATCTTCTTCTCTGTCTCTCCTCCTCTCTGTATATCTGACTTTCCAATAAATAAATAAATCTTTAAAAAACAAAACAAAACAAAAATCTTGTATCATCCATGAATGGTATCCTAAACTCCCAAGTGGCTCCTGATCTCTGCTCTACAGCTTCTCAGAACAGTCTAGAAGAAAAGCTCTGAGCCTAGCCAGAAAGTCAGGCGCAGGGCTTTACAGTTTTTGTGTGTGATCCTGGGTGTGTCTTGTAAGCTGTCCTGGCTTCAGTTCCTCATTGGAAAAGTGAGCCTGAGTAGGCTTCCTGCCTCAGACCCCCTGAGTCGGGGCTGCAGTGAGGGTGTGTCTGGGGTCCCTGCAGGTGACTGATTCTGTCCTTTCCCTTGCAGAGCGACACGGGCTGCAGGAGCCCTGGCGGGTGGAGGAGCTGCAGAACCGCATCCTCAGCTGCCTGAAGGAGCACCTGGAGGCGGTGACGGGGGAGCCCCAGCCGGCCGTGACGGGGGAGCCCCAGCCGGCCAGCCGTCTGTCCCGTCTTCTGGGCAAACTGCCTGAGCTGCGAACCATGGGTAAACAGGGCCTACAGCGCATCTTCTACCTCAAGCTGGAGGACCTGGTGCCCCCTCCGCCCATCGTGGACAAGATCTTAATGGACACGCTGCCCTTCTGACCACAGCGCCAGGACCTGCATGCACACGCACAAGCGTGTGCTGCTCGGACACCACCCCACGTGCCTTTAGTCCACGGACCCCCGCTCCCTCTCTGCTGAACCTGTGGGAGCCTGGGCTCGAGCTGCAGGCTGGCCCACCTCCTCACGCACTCCAGAGGCTGCGCAGGGGAGCTCAAGCCCTCGGGAGGGGCATGCTTTCACGGGGGCAACCCCGCTATCTGTCTTACCCCTGCTCTGGCCTTTGTGGTGTTTTTTTTTTTTTTTTTTGTAAGATAAACCGTTTTTAACACACACCGCTGTGCTGTAAATAAGCCAGATGCTGCTGTAAATACAGGAAGGAAGAGGTTGAGGTGGGAGTGGGGGTTGGGAGGGAAGGAACGGGGCAGCCTTCTGTGTATGCTCCCTCCCACCCTGCCCTCTTTCCACGTGTATATAGACTATCATTTGAGAGAGAAGCCAAATGAAAAATTATGACATTTATACTTGTGTATTTTTCTTGGATTTGTAGTATGTGACTTTTCTGATTAATATATTTAATATATTGATTAAAAAATAGACCTGTAGCTGGAATTGGGGCTGTGTTTTCCTCTGAACCCTCCCTCTACCCCCCTCTTCCCACCGGCCATACCCCCATCACCCCACAAGACACTGAGGTGAGCCTGGACAGATCTTGGGTGCTGCCAACTGCTTGGGTACTCATTGTGCAGGGAACTGGCATGCTGAGTGCCTCGGCTTCATTTCCAGCACATACGGAGCCCCCGGGTCACAGACGAGGGCCTGGCTCTTGGCTAACCAAGAGGCTGCTGAATCAGCCACCTGCCGGCTTCAGGACTCACCTGCAGTCGGTAACTTTTGAGTCTCGGTTTCTACTTCCGTCAAGCAGGAAGAGGAAGAGACTGGGTCTGGTAAGAGCTTTGCTCAGGACGAGCGGTGTATGCAGGGCTGAGGCACGGAAGCTCTGCGAGTGGTTTCTGTTTTCCCATTGCCATTAGCAGTGTTCTTCCTCAACCCCCACCCCCCGCTGCCCCAGACACAGGGGCCAGGCAGCTGCTGCCCCAGATTTCTGTGGGGGAAGAGACTGTTCCAAGAGCTCTTACTTGTCCGGGTGATTCCACACAGGTCCTGTAAACCCCCAGATTCATCCATCAGTCATCAGCTAGGTTAAAACGCAGACCTGGGTCTGGTATGATGGTTTAATCGGCTGATCTCCCTTTGTAAGCACCAGGATCCCATAGGATGACAGATCATGAACCGGATGCTCCACTTCCCATGCAGCTCCCCTGCTTGAGGCCTGGGAAAGTAGCAAAGGATGACCCAAAGCCTTGGGACCCTGCACCCGCATGGGAGACCTGGAAGAAGCTCCTGGCTCCTGGCTTCAGATAGGCTCAGCTCCACTTCGACTGTTGCGGCCTCTTGGAGAGTGAGCCAGCAGGTGAAAGATCTTTGTCTCTCCTCCACTCTGTATATCTGCCTTTCCAATGAAAAGTACACCTTAAAATAACAAACAAACAAACTAACTAAAATACCTACTCACAGGCTCCAGCACCTGTAGCTCAGACTCACTGGGGCCCAACAACCTGTGTTGTTAGCAAGTATCTGGATGCTTATCATAATGTTGGCCGGGGGTCTCTCCAACACTCCGAGACATTAGTATTAAGTGGCCCTAGCCTTGGGCCCAAAGTCCGGAACCATTCTCGTGCCCAGTGCCTGCCTGGCCACAGCCACTGTCACCTTCCTGGGGACCTGGCTAGAGTCCTAAAGGCAGTGCCCTAGCACTGTTCCTCGCTATCTTTGGCTCCAGGTACTGACTTAGGAGCCCGCATCCTCTGCTAGCTGGGAAGGGTAAGCAGAGACCTTCCCCAGGGCTCCAGCCACAGCCTGCTGCCTCACCCCCACCAACTACACACCTTCACATGGTTACAGGACCATGGATTCACCCTAGGCATCCTAAAGGAAACTGGGGTGGCTGGAGTGGAGAGGCCATGACCCTGACTTTGTGACTTCCGTCTGGGTGGTGCTTTGAGTTCCCAAGCCAGTGCCCCTGTAGACTCCTGGGCATGTGACCCTGGCATGCCACGGGGCCCCTTATTGGCAGCGCCATCTTCCCAGCCCGCCTCTGGCACCATGCCCCTGTTCCTCTCTGAGCCTCGGTTCCCCCATCTGGTGGGGCCGTGAGTCTGGTGGAGCTTGCTGCGAACTCTCCTTCTCCCTATGGTTAGAGGATGTCCCTCTCTTTAGCTCTTTCTCCCTGTGGACCAAAGCCACACCCAGGCAGGTGCGAGTACTGGGCCGAGCCGCATGGCTGCAGAGTCTAGATCCAGATGTCAAGGTCCAGAGTGAAGGTGACACCCATGGTGACCCTGGGCAAGGTCCTTTCCCAGTGCCACTGGCCATTTCTTACCCTTCGCAGCTGCCCAGAGAGGCCAGCAACCCCCGTCCCAGATGTCTACCACCATGTCTGCAGGCAACAAGGCAGGGGGGGAAGAGTGAGTACTCTGGAGCTGGGCAGCACGCATTTGCTTTTCGCTTCCACCCTTGTGAGCCAGGCACTTTCAGGCACGTGAGTTAACCTTTCTGGACTCTATGTGTTCATCTTAAAAGGGAGGAAAACCACTGTGCCCACTCTGTGATTGAGTCTATGTCAAATGTTTCAAACGTGCCTGCCATGAGCAGGGGCACCCTGGGAATCCCAGCCGTAGCTTCGAGAAAGGCAGTGACTTGTCCGAAGCCACTTGACCCATAAGCAGCTGAGCAAGGCATGCCATGTGACTTAGGTGCAGGGGCTCCTGCCTGGCACTGGTCGGAAGGCAAAGTCCCATTGCTGGGCATTCCCTCCCAGGGCTCCTGGTCTTTGGGGCCCAGCGTGGGGGGGAGCTGATGCCTCCAGTCCCGCCCTGCCCCACCCAGTCTAGCCCAGGAGCCTGGCAGCTGCAGCTAAACACTTTCTCCCAACTCAGCAACTGGAAGAACTGGCCTCCGCGTCTTGCTCGGGGCCCCAGAGGGCAAACAAGGGGCCACTGAGCCTGATGGGGCCGCACAATGGCTGCCCTGTCCCTGCCGGCCCGGGGGGCTGGGCCCCGTTTCCGACAGGGACAATAGTCAAAAGGCAATGACGCAGCCCGCCAGCAGGGCCTGGAATCCCGGGCGGGATTTTCCGAGGCCTCAAAGCCTTTGCTGTTTGTCCTTACCCAGGGACCCAGGAAGGTGGCATCCTGCCCTCCCCTGTCCTGCCCACGCCGGCCCATTCTGCATCTCAAAGTGCCACTGAGTTAGGGGGTCAGGGATCAGGCTGGGCGGTCTGTGCCTGGTGGTCTTCCATGGGGCTTGGGGTAGAGGCAGCCACTCTGTACCAGGGTTCCAGCCATCAGCAAAGCTCAGCCTTGTGGAGGTCAAGAGCTTCTGAAGGTCAAGGGCAAGCCCACTGTTGTGCCCGTGGTCTGCTCTGTCCAGCGCACCTAGCTCATGGTGGCCAGCTTGGAGGCTGCCGGGAGTGCTGGGCAGCGGCAGGAGGTGGTTGTGTCAGTTGTGGCCTCTTACAGGAGAGTTGGTGGTGGTGGTGGGAGAGGGCTTGGCTCATATATTTGGGTGTCCCCTGCCCTTCCACCACACTGTCAAAATGCAGGGAACCCCTGGGGACTCTGAGATGAATGTTCATGAACCCGGCTTCTAGTCCTGGGAGGGCCTGGCTGTGTGGACCCATGGCACAGCGGGCAGCTGCCCCTCTCTTTTGGCTGGCCCCTGCTTGGTCTCAGGTTCCTGTCCAGGCCCTTCCTGGGCCCAGCTTGTGTGGGAAAGGTCTAGGCTGGCCTGTGGCTCCCCCATGATGGGGATGGGAAGCAGCCAGTGCCAGGCAGTGGGGAGAAGCCCCCTTTGTGCCCTACAATCTCCTTCTCCTTCTGAGGAGTAGGAGGCTCATTCTGGGGTCCCAGGCTAGACTCCGAGCCAGCCCCAGCAGCCAGTTGCTATCCCTTACCCTGTCCGTCCCTTCCATCCTGGCTCTGCCTTGCCTCCTGCTGGGCTCCGACCTGCCAGGTTGGGTGGGGGGCACCTGAGGTCTCCTTAAGTTCTGATCCAGGCAGCACTGGCATCGCCCAGCCCCAACTCAAGACCATAAATCAGGCCACAGGGCCTGGGGGTGGCAGCTGGGCCGGGGAGGGGAGCGCGGGCAGAGGGGGTGGGGTGCCTGTACTGGTACATGCTGTGTTAGCAGGGAGCAGTGCCCAGCCAGGCCGACAGGGTGCTGATGGTCAGTGCCCTCTAGGCTGGGCACATCAGAGAGAGTCCTGCCACAGCGGGCCGAGCAAGAAGCCTAGTCTCTACCTCGGGGGCTCCCAGTCACTGGCCTACCTCCAGGAAACAGAGAGAGATGCCCCCACCTGCCAAGCAACTGGGACAGAGAACTAACCCAAGGGGTGAATGAGTAGCCCTTGCCCCATGCAAGAACAATCACCCATCCCCAGAGAGGCACAGGACAAGGGACTGATACACAGTAAGAAAGCACCCTCGACCCCCTGACTTGGCTGGATACACACATGGGCCTCGACCCGGATGCTGAGGCACAGAGTCCCAGATGCTCATCTGGACACTGAACATGATGCTCCTGATGTGGCCAGCAGGCACCTCAGTCTCATGCCTTTTGCCACTGTCAGAAGGGGCTCAGCCATTTTCTCTGCTGTGGAGGGCGGGGACCAACCAGGAATGACATCGCAGAAGGGGTGGGAAGCTGAGGGAGGCCCTGTCCAGGGTCCCAGGGGGCAGAAGTCAGAAGAGGACAGCTGCTCCTTCTCGCCCCCACGCATGGCCGGGCCCGGGCTGTGGACGCTTCAGCGCTAGCTCTTGCAGCTGGCCTGGCCGCCGTCAGGAGTGCCCAGCCTGACGTCAGGCCGGCTCATTGTTGTTGCTGGGGCTTGAGTCACTCCCCGTGACGCCATTGGGGTCAGCCCTGGAGCGGCTGGGGTGGCCTGCGAGGCCAGCTCTGGGGCTCAGCTTTCTCTTTCTTGGGCGCACACCAGGATGGGGTGGGGCCATCCAAGGCCACACTGGCTGGGCGGAACCAGCTGCCCCCTCCCAAGGTCTTGGGCTGGCTTCAAGGTCTCACCAACGGGCCTTGCACTATTGGGCCCATGTGCCCAGCTGGCTATGGCCCTGGGCTCTGGCTGAGGAGTCAGTCAGACACTGTCCTTGCCTCTATGGCTGTGGAACCCAGTTTTTCCAGCTGCAGCCCTGCCTGGGACTGTCCCTAAACTCCCTTCCATCCTCCAGAAAATCTCCTCGGAATTATCCTATTGTCTCCTGGCACCAGCCCTTCCTTGCCCATCTCCTGGGCTGCTGCATGCATTCTCTGTGGTGCCCAAGCACTTCCTAGCTTGTTGAGGGCGGGAGCCTTGGGACCCCTCTTCACCCACGAGTGTGTCCCTTTCTGTTCAAGGCCACCAGCATCTCTCTGAGACAACAGCGGTCACTTCCATCCTGGTCTCGTCTGGTCCTCCCATAAAGCCAGCAGCCAATCCCACAGCCGCCAGGCTTCTCTGGCCCATCTCTGGAAACCTCTGAGCTCTCAGAGGGGCTGGATCTGTGCCTTGTCCCCCTGCATATTGCTGAGGTATCACAGGTGTGGCATGAACATCACATTATGTCTGAGACATGGGGAGAGGGACAGAACTGCTGTTGGGAGGGTGACCCAGGTTCAGAGCTGCCATGCAGCTGGCCTGGAAGAACTCAAGGAGGTGGGGAGCAGGCACAAGAGCGATGCCAAGGCTACACGTGCAAAGGGAGGGGGTAGTGGCCTTGGCAGGTGTGTCAGCGTCCTTGGACTGACACGCCTGGGTGTGGCAAGGAGGGAGAGGTGTTCACACCCCCTGTGCAGCCTCGGACAAGTCCCCTGCTGTCAGCAAACTGGATGCCCAGGTGAGCTGACGGCACTGCCATGGCCACGCCATAAGGCAGTGGGGCAGGAGGAGTCCCCAACTGCCCGATGCTGGGAGAGTCAGCCTGCCGCTGCTGATGTGTTATGGGCCACCTGCCTCCCTCCCTTAGTTGGCCATGTTAGATGCCCAGAAACACCTAGAATGATGTTGGACCCCATGTCTGGATCTTCTCTGCCCTGACATATAGCATGACCCATCACAGTGAGCTACTGTCATGGTGCCTCAGTTTTGCTTGTCTGCGTAGCTGGGCCTTCAGCTCCTCTCCCTCCTCCTGCGCAGGCTCTAGCACAGGTTGTTGGCTTCTCCCTGCCCTTCCACCTCTTCACTGGGACAAGTCCCCAGGCCTGGGATAGGCAAGTGCTAAACAAGAGCAGAGTCCCCGGGTGGGCAGGGAACGTACTAAGGGTAGAGCGGGGGCCAGGGGAGGGGCTTGTGCACCTTGGTGTGTGTGTGGGAGATGTGCTGGAGACAGCTGGTTCTGCACTTGGGGGGCCAACTACAGGCAGATCTCCCCTCCTCCGCTGCATCTCAAGATGTAACCAACCAGTTGTTCTGGACTCTGAATTCAACAGTTTCACACAGCCTCAGGAGGAGGCAGACGCCAACCCTGGGACCCCCGTGTTTGTAGGTGGCAGTGCCTGGGGGAGGGTGGCCTTGAGACGGGCTCTCGTGTGGACCATCCTCGCTGTGCAGTCCTGGATTTAAAGCCCAACTTACAACCTTGGGCAAGTTGCTTCATCTCTCCTAAGTGTCAATTTCTTAACCACCTCATAAAGCTGACTTGCACCACACTGCCACCTGCTCGCCCGGGCATCCCGTTCGGGCTGGGAAGGCAGTGGAAGACGTTGGGTCCCTGCCTTCCAACTGGCTTCAGCCTGGCCCCAGCTATGGCTGACACAGATCAAACAGTGAGAGAAGGTCTCCATCTCTCTGCCACTTTCTGCCTTTCAAATAATGAATCTTAAAAAAAAATTATTTATTTTTATTGGAAAGGCACATCTATGGAGGGAAAAAGAGACAGAGAAAGATCTTCCATCTGCTGTTCACTCCCCAAATGGCTGGAGCTGAGTCGATCCAAAGCCAGGAACCAGGAGCTTCCTCCAGGTCCCATGCAGGTGCAGGGTCCCAAGGCTTTGGGCTGTCCTTGACTGTTTTCCCAGACTACAAGCAAGGAGCTGGACGGGAGATGGAACAGCTGGGACACACATCAGAAACCATATGGGATGGGATGCTGGCGCTTGCAGTGGAAGGGTTAGCCAATTGAACCATTCCTGCCAACAAAAGAAGTCTTCTTCTTCTTTTTTTTTTTTTTTAAGCCCCTTAAAAACGCATTCCACAAATGTTGTCTATTACTGGTCCGGGTGATAAAGCCTGTGTTGGGAAAAATTAGCTTGTTAGACCCCAAGTACACGGCTCGGAGGTGCCTCCTACTGGAGGTTGGGGGCATTGCCGACTGACGGCTCGGCCCAGCTCGGCTTACCATCTTCCCGTGGACCTCAGCTGTTCCCCGAAAGTCACCAAGGGGCTAGACCTAACACCACAGGTCAGAGGTGGGCTTCCACCTGCCGGCTCAGCAGCCTGGACCGCGCCAGACTGAAGTTGCGAGTGGGGGGACTCCACTCGGGTCTCCCGCAGGAGGGCAGAGGCCTGAGCACTTGAGTCACCACCTGCTGCCTCCTCCCGAGCTGGCGCATGAAGAGGAAGCGGCCTCCCCAAGGTCCCCACAGGAGTTATTGTTTGGGATCCCTCACAGCTGCTTGCAGTCTCCACAGCCGCAACTCAAAGGCGGATGACGTGAAGACTCCTCTTTCCTTCCCCACTTCCACCCCCTACACACACGCGCGCTTGCTTCAGGGCGGTCGTCCACTCTGGCGACATCACGCTGCACACGCAACCTTGCCCCCGACCGCTGATGGAGTTCGTGTCATCAACGCCCTCTGCCCGGTCTCAGCCGGGCCGGGGACCCGGGGCTCGGTCTCCCAGGGCCTCGGTCTCCCCGGGTCTCCGTCTCCCAGGGACTCGGTCCCCCGGGGTCTCCATCTCCCCCGGGTCTCGGTCCCCCCCGGGTCTCGGTCCCCCCGGGTCTCGGTCCCCCCGGACTCGGTCCTTCCGGGACTCGATCCCCCCGGGTCTCCGTCTCCCCGGTCTCGGTTCTTCCGGGACTCGGGCCCCCGGGTCTGTCTCCCAGGGACTCGGTCCCCCGGGGTCTCCATCTCCCCCGGGTCTCGGTCCCCCCGGGTCTCCGTCTCCCCCGGACTCGGTCCTCGCGGGTCTCCGCTCCCCGGTCTCCGTCCCCGCCAGCCGGTCTCGCCGCCGTGACTCCTCTTGGCCTGAAGAGGCAGCGCCGAGCGTTTCCGGCCGCTCCTTCCCGCCCGTCTCTATGGCGGAAATGCGTCATTCCAGCCGGGAAAAACAACAAACAGACTACAACACTCTTGGTGCTGAGAGCGAACGGATTGGTCCAAACGAGGCAGGGGGAGGAAACAGGGTTCCCGTGATATTTTAACGTCCAGAGATAACCAAGAAGAAAGCGTTCGAGTTGCGGAGGAATACAGAACCACGTCTGTGCTCGCAGGTGACAATCCGGAAGACGCGGGGGCCACGCTGGAGCCGGGGCTCGCCGGCCGGGACGCCGCCCCCCCTGCCGGAAGCCGCGGCGCAGATGGAAGCGTCCTGGGCTTTCGGGGCGGGAGGGCTTCCGGCCGCGGGGCTGGGGGGCCGGGCGGTGAACGCGCGGCTGGGGCCTCTGGGTGGCAGAGGGGCCGCGGGGCGGCCGGTGGTCGCGCGGGGTCCGGCGCCGGGTCCTCGGCCTCCCTCCCCGGGGACTGCCCTCCGACCTCTGCGTCCGACCGGGCTGGGCGCGGGGCGTCGTTCTCGAAGCGTCAGAGGCGTCTCGGCTCCTGGACGTGCGGAGGTTCGCGGGCGGTGGGAGGGTCGGGACCGGGGCTGGGGTCTCCGGGGGCGCGGCTCGGGAGGAAGGGCTGGGCGAGCGGCGTCCCAGCCCACGCGCGCACGGGGGGCACGGGGGGTCGGGGAACTGTCCGCTGACCCCTGGGAGGGCCAGTGGGGTCCGGCCAGCGGATGGGCCGCTGTGGGAAGGAGGCTGGGCGGATCGTGGGGCAGCAGCGCCAGTGTGCGCGCCTGGGGCCGCAGGGGGAGGAGGTGGGGTAAGCGTCCGCGAGCTTGGGGCCAGAGCCGCGTGTCTCCCTAGGTGGGAAAGTATGGGCTGGAGTTTCAGGGTGGAAAAGGGTGACATTTCTGGAACCCCACCGCACCCCTGGGTGAGGAGGCTGGCAGCAGTACCCCCCCCCGTCCCCCTATGCTGGGTGCTGGCTTGCCTTGGTACTGATGGAAGAGTTTAGATCCTGCCCTGCACGGACTGCCGGCCCCCAGGGAGAGAAGCCTAGATCCTGTCAGTATTCTTCAGCCGGGGGTCTGAGCTGATGGCCAGGAGGGGAAACAGATGAGCTTAGAGAGGAGCTCAGATAAGGAGGGGCTGGGACTGCAGTGGCTTCTGTCCCGAGGCGAGGAGAGGCTAGAGGCCTGACATGGAGGTGGTGGTCGGAGGGAGGGTGGTCGGAGGGAGGGTGGTCGGAGGGAGGTTTGTGTGGGGTCACGCCAGGTGTAAGCAAGCTGAGATTCAAAGGCAAGGTTATTGGACAGTCGGGCCTGGAGCGATAGCGTAGTGGTTAAAGTCTTCGCCTTTAACGCGCCAGGAACCCATATGGGTACCGGTTCTAGTCCTGGCAGCTCCACTTCCCATCCTGCTCCCTGTTTGTGGCCTGGGAAAGCAGTTGAGGACAGCCCAAAGCCTTGGGTTCCTGTACCCGCGTGGGAGACCTGGAAGAAACTCCTGGCTCCTGGCTTCAGATCGGCACAGCACTGGCTGTTGCAGTCACTTGGGGAGTGAATCATCAGACTGAGGATATTCCTCTGTCTCTCCTCTGTAGATCTGCCTTTCCAATAAAAATAAAATCTTAAAACAAATTGTTGGACAGAACACACTGCCTCCATCCCACCCCTGGCTCTGCACTTCATCTTACGTTTCACCGTGGTGGTGCTGCTGCCGCTGTAGGGACCCCGGCCTGGCCTCGCCGCCCAGCCTGTGCCTCATTCAGCACGTTCTTCCCCCAGAGATTGGGGGTGCGGGGGTGTGTGAGAGTCGAATTTAAGAATGCTCAGCCTTAGAGGCTTGCAGCGGCTTTGCAGAGCGTAGCCCTGTACCCTCCAGCCCCAGGGAGTGTGTGGGTTTCATCCCCACACGGATGGTGTGCGCCCTTTGCTGTCCCATCTCCCTTCCCGCCGACCTCCAGGGCCCAGGAATTGCCCTTAGCCCTGCCTGGCTCTGCCCTCGTTCTGTGAGCTTCTCAGGGGTGGGGGCCGCACTGGCCTTACAGTGCTGCCCCGAGTGCAAGGGGTGGGCTCTGTACCGGGGCTGGGGGTTTCATGCGTCTCGCAGGGTCCTGGACCTTGAGCCCCCAGCCCAGGATCTGGGGACTGAATGTCAGAGGTCAGAGGGCACTTGCAGGGTGCTCCCAGCCTCCTAACCTGCTCCTCTCACAGGTCAGCCCAGCCTGGGCGTGGGCTGTCGTCGCCGGCTGCAGGATGAACTGTCGCTCGGAGGTGCTGGAGGTGACGGTGGAGGGCCGGCAGGTGGAGGAGGCCATGCTGGCCGTGCTGCACACGGTGCTGCTCCATCGCAGCACGGGCAAGTTCCACTACAAGAAGGAGGGCACTTACTCCATCGGCACCGTGGGCACCCAGGACGTCGACTGTGACTTCATCGACTTCACCTACGTGCGCGTCTCCTCGGACGAGCTGGACCGGGCCCTGCGCAAGGTGGTTGGGGAGTTCAAGGTAGGAGCCTGCCAGGCCCGTGGCGGACCGCCCTTGTGTGCGTCCGCGCCCCTGCTGGCTGGCAGGCTCGCCTCCCCTGTGTGTGTGTAGGGGCGGGGAGCAGGTGTGTTGGCTGGCACGCCCTCTGGCTCCTGGCCCTCCACGGACACCTCCTCTACTCCGGCTTTTCCTGTTCTTCCCAGGATGGTGACCAGGTGGCACCATGGGTGGGGGTGCTGTCCCTGTGGTCCGTGGTCGTGCATACGTGCCTGAGAGGGCCGTGCTACGCTGCTAATGTGCTCACGTGCCAAAGTGGAAGTGGGTGTGTGTGTTAGTGTCATTGTCACTTAGGGATGATGGTGTTGTGCTTTTTCAGTAGGTGATTTTTTGCTAATATATATATATTTTAACAAATTTGCAGGGAGCGCCCATGATAGCGCTCCGATCCAGTTCCTACAGGGGCGGGGGTTGCGCAGGGCCACAGCCGGGAGCTGAGAGCCCCATCCGGGCCTCCCCCTTGGGCCCTCATCTGCTGCCTGCCCGCCATTGCATCAGCAGGAAGCTGGGATGGGAGAACAGACCCGGAACTTGAACCTAGGTTCTCTGATGGATGAGGCACCTCGAGTGGTATTAACCACTAGGCCGAAGCCCCCTCAGCTCCCACCCATGGATGTTTTTTCAATTTTGAAGTGACAGAACTTTTTTTTTTTTAGCAAGTTTATTTTTGTCTGCTAGGGAACAGAGTGACAGAAAGTTATCTTTGATTTGCTAGTCCATTTCCCAAATGACAGAACAGTCAGGGCTTGTCCAGGCGAGGCCAGGAACCCAGAACTCCACCTGAGTCTCCCATGTGGGTGGCGGGGGCCCTGACACTTGAATCTCTTGCGTTGCCTCCTGGGATGCAGTGACAGGAAGCGGGGTCAGAAGTGGAGCTGGCAGGACTTAGAGCAGCACTCCCACATGGCATGGAGTGCCCCCAGCAGCAGCTCTGCCCACTGTACCACAGTGCCTGTGCAGGGGCTCTTGTCTGCCTCGCTTTTCACACACTGGCAGAGCCCCTCCCACTGGGCCAGGCGCTGAGTGCTGGCAGCAGGGAGTGGTGACGTGGTGTCAGGCTGGAGGGCCGGGCACTGAGTGCTGGTGGCATGGGGTGGCCTGCTGTCGGTGACCTCCCAGGCCACAGCCTTCAGAAAGCCCTACACCCTTATGTCCTTGCGGAAACAAGGCAGGCTCTGGCGCTTAGCACATAGGTGACCCTGGGCCAGGGGCTCGCTTCCTGGGAGCCTTGATTTTCTGGATATACAAGTGGAGTGACCTTGAACCTGCCTCCCAGAGTCTTGCGAGCAGTGCATATGGGAAGCTGTGTCCGGTGCTTGGAGTGGCATCTGCCAGAGGGGCAGCACTACCAAAGGCTCTGCTGTTGCTAACGCTCAGCCAGGGTCACGTGCCCTTGCTCTGTCCTCGAAGGGGGGCCTGTTTCCCAGTAGGTGGTTTAGGATTTGAGGGAGGCCGCCAAAGCTCTTCCATGTTGGCGTGAGTTCAGACAGGTGCCTCAGAGCTCCTGCTGTTCGGGGAGGAGTTGAGGACCACCTGCTCCCCTGGGGGGTCAGCAGAAGTGCTGGACAAGAGCATCCTATCTGCTTTTCAGAGAAGAGGGGAAGCGGTGGCTTTGGCCTGCCCGCTGCGCCACCTTCCCCAGTCTGTCCCTTGGTTCCCTTCCTCGTAAACCAGAGGTACACTGGGTTTTATGAGTCTGCCACCTGGCTTTTTACGAAGACCACGGAAGCTGGCACGGTAGTGTAGTTACAAAAGCTGCCACATGTGATGTTGGCATCCTATAGGGGCACTGACCAAGACTCAGGTGCTCCACTTCCACACCAGCTCCCTGCTCATGCTCCTGGGAAAGCAGCAGAGAATGGCCCAAGTGCTTGGCCCCTGCACCCATGTGGGAGACCCTGAAGAAACTCCTGGCTCCTGGCTCACATCTTTAGCCTGTCACAGTCCTGGGGGTTGTGGTGAGTGAACCAGCAGATGGGAGCTCTCTCTCTCTCTTTTTTTAATGTATTCATTTGAAAGAGTAACAGAGAAGGAGTCTGAAGGACAGTTTCCCACCTGCTGGTTCACTCCCAAAGTGGCCACAGCAGCGGGGGGCCAGGTCTTCCACCTGGTTGGCAGGACCCTGAGCACTTGGGCCATCTGCTGCATTCTCAGGGGCATTAGCAGGAAGCTGGCTCGGAAGTGGAGCAGCCAGGATTCAAAATGGCATACTGTGGGATGCTGGCGCACAGAAGGTGGCCCGTGTAACGGTAGCTCTTAACAAGGCTGGGTGGGTTAGTAGCTGGGTTTTGCGAATTTGCTGGCAGTCTGCTCAGTCCCTGCAGACAAATCCTTGCCCCTCTGGGTGGAGCTGGGAGCACATATGGGGTGGCTTGCAGCAGCAGTTCACGGGCCTGGACCTGCTCCTCCACTTGCCCCTATCTTCCCCAGGAAGCGCTGCGCAACTCTGGCGGGGACGGGCTGGGGCAGATATCCCTGGAGTTCTACCAGAAGAAGAAGTCCCGCTGGCCTTTCTCGGACGAGTGCATCCCGTGGGAGGTGTGGACGGTCAAGGTGCACGTGGTGGCGCTGGCCACGGAGCAGGAGCGGCAGATCTGCCGCGAGAAGGTGGGCGAGAAGCTGTGCGAGAAGCTCATCAACATCGTGGAGGTGATGAACCGGCACGAGTACCTGCCCAAGATGCCCACGCAGTCGGAGGTGGACAATGTGTTCGACACGGGCCTGCGGGACGTGCAGCCCTACCTCTACAAGATCTCCTTCCAGATCACTGATGCGCTGGGCACCTCGGTCACCACCACCATGCGCAGGCTCATCAAGGACACTCTTGCCCTCTAGGCCGCCCTGGGGCCAGTGGAGCTGCTCGGGACTGGGCTGGGAGCCCCTGGGCTCTGGGACCTGTGTGCCCTCTCGATGGGCAGTTGCCAGCCTCCGCTGCTGCCACGGCTGGTCCAGGCCTGCCTGCTGCCCTGGCCCCGCAGCCCGGGCAGGCCCCTCCACCTTCCCTGTGTGGAAGAGCACCGCGGCACTGGTAAATAAAGTTGTGAGTGTGACTTTGGGATGTGCCTTCTCTCCAGGACTGTGTCCTCAGATGTTGGTCCTGTGAGTGTTCCTGCAAGGACATGGGTGCAGCAGGGTTAAGCATGCATGAAAACCAACCTCCCCACACCCAGGTGTTGCCCACCCAGGTGCCACGCAGGCCAGCCGTGAGTGAAGTCTTGGGTCCTGTGTGTTGCTTGTGAGCCTGCTTTCTGGTCCCCTCCTGGAGGGAAGGCACAGCGTGCAGGAAGCGGACTGTTTCCCTCTGGAGAGCTTGGCCATGGGCTGCCTGCCACCGTGGACTGAGGACCTGGTTTGGGCTGGTCCTCACTGCTGGAGAGGGCCTTGCTCTGCCGAGTTAACCTGTGCAGACTGACCCTTCCTCGCTCATGCACTGGACCTGCGTGGATTTATTCCATACACTACTATGCTTTTTGGCCCTTTTTAAATCACTTCTAGATGGACAGAGGAAGTGTGTGGAGGGGACCTCTATGGGGGCGTGGGATGGAGGGGCGTTGACAAGCCACCCATGGCCCTGGGGTCACACCTGCAGTTTCTGCAGTGTCCCAGTAGTCCCCTGGGAAGCCTTGGGATGGAGAACTGGGCGGACAGGGCAGCAGTGACATGCCCTCCCCTTTAGCATTGTGGTTCCTGTGAGTTGGTGGACCGGCTGATTCAGGGTTGAGGGGTGCTCGTCACCCTGATCTGTAGCCTCTTACTGACCTGTAAATATGACTGTAGGCTCACGGGGGCCTGAGAAAGGGAGGCACAGGGAAGGGTTTGGGGTTTCTGCCCCCTCCCAGCCCCTGGGAGGAGGTGCTACCTGTGTGGGTGTGGCCAGGAAGAGCCCTAGGTTTGCCTGGCTGGATCTGCCAAGTGGTCATGCAAAGCCCGAGGCAGGCACAGCCAGCCTGTTGAAGGGGCCATGGCCAGTCCATGCTGGCGGAACGCTTTTGTCTGAAAAGGGCACTGTGCAAGGGGGGCTGGGAGCTCAGGGCTTCAGGGATCCGCCCCTTGTGTTCCTCCCCTCCACTGCCGCCAGTCGGCCAGCCCCCTGAGGCTCTGCACAGCTGGCGGCCTCTAGCTCACATCTGGGCAGCTGCCGCAGAGGATGAACGGCTCGCAGGTGGGCAATGTGGCCCCGGCCTCCTGGCTGACCTGCTGCAACCAGTCGGGGGCGCCACCTCCGGAGCTCCCCGAGGGACCTCGCACGCTGCAGGTGGTGGTGCTGGGCGTGCTGTCACTGCTGGTGCTCTGCGGGGTCCTGTTCCTGGGTGGCAGCCTCCTCCTGCGTGCGCAGGGCCTTGCTGCACTGCTGGCCCAGGAGCAGCGTGCCTCCCGTGAGTCCCAGCCCAGCGACACCAGCGTGGGCGACGATTCCTCCTAGGTGCCTGGCTGCGCTGCCCTGGGCGGTGGCAGCTTCCAGGCAGCCAGGAGCCAGGGCCCTGCACCGATGGCCTTGGCAGAGAAGGGAGATTCGTGGCCTGAGCAAACACAGGTGAAAAGGCTAGGGGGTGTGGTGCGGAGGAGTGCAGGGGCCCACCACAACCCCCTTTGGGGAGGCTTTGCCTTGGGGACTTCTCTCCTGTTTGTGTGAGCCCTGGAGCCAGGCTGGGCCGCTGTGCTGGGGTCTGGGGAGGGAGGGCCCCTTCTCTCCCTCTCCAAACCCCTTCCCTTCTCAAGTGTCCTTCCCTATATTGCCAACAGATGATGTTGCTGGGCAGGGGTGTCTGGGGGGTCGGGAGAGCCACAGTGTGTGTTAAAGCTGTGGTCCCTGGGACCAACCCCCACCGGCTTCCTCCCCACCCCTTGACCTCTGCCTTGGTCTGCACTGAGGCTGGGGTGGGAGTGGGGGGGGGTGATGGGGAGGTGTGCTCAGGTCCCCACCCCTTGGAGGCCAGGCCAGGCCTGCGTGTGTCTGTGTGCTGGGGGTGGGGCAGGGGAGGCCGCCCCCTGGCTAGGCTCCCAGCAGCTGGGGGGCCTCTGGAGCACAGCTCTTCCCCGGAAGTGGGGCTGAGTGTTCCCAGCTGCAGGCGGGGGCTCCGTCTGGGTCTCCTGCCTGTGTCTCTCCAAGGACAGGAGCCATCTGGAGGGAAGGGCCTGGGTGGCCCATGGGACAAGGTAACTGGGGGCCAAGGCCACCCCTGACAGAGAGGGAATCATGGGCTGGGGCTGGGGAGATCACTATTGTTCAACTGTGTTACTGAGAACTCTTGGGGTAGGGGGCTTCCTGAGGCCTAGTGCTGGGGTGGGATCTCCAGTGTGTGTGTCTGGGAGGGCCCAGGGGCAGGGCAGGCAGGTGCAGTTTAGCTAACAAACTGCCAATAGTCTGCTCTCCTGCTGAGCAGCCCAGGGGCCTGGCGTTGGTCCCAGCAGCCACCCTGGCCTCGCTGCTGCTCCACCGCCTCTCGAACCTTGCACATTGGTGCCTAGTGGAGAGGCCGGCGCAGTGGGGCAGTGATGCGAGTGTGTGTACATGCTGACCCGCCAAGTCCCAGCCCAGGGTTTCCAGCTGTGCCCAGGAGACAGTCCCCACCAGACGGCTGGCTCCTTGGGACTGTCATGCCCCGGCTCTCACAGCCTGATGGATCCTGTCACTCCCTTGGCCACACCTCCCCAACAGGGGGAGAGGGCTCCCTAGGTCTCTGGTAGGCCCCTCACTTCACAAGAGCAGGTCTGAAGCCCCGGGGAGGGAGAGTGTCATTCCCCCACCTGTCCTGTCCGCTTTCCCCCTTCCCATGGTTCTCTGAGCCCTGATGGGAGGTATAATCCATTTCTCACCAAAGGAGTGGGCTTTGACACACAGTTCTGTGTCGTCATCCCCTCGTGTATCCGTTTCTCAGTGGCCCTGTCCCCTAGCTCTCTCACTGCTGTGAAGTCCTGGTGCCCAGGCAGCAGCTGCCCACCTACTGGCCTCACCTTGCCCTGACTCACCCTGACGTGGGGAGGGGCTCTGAGGTCAGTCTGAAGAGTAGAGACCCAAGCGGTCAGAGTGGAAGCGTCAGATTTGACCTGTGCTTTGTCCTTTGGGTTCAAGTTCAGCATCAGGAGGTGACAGGGGCATAAGAGTGATGGTACGCAGCAGTACTGGGCAGGGGAGGGGAGGGGAGGAGGATGAAGGGGCTTGGGCAAAGCCTTCCTCCATCCCACTTCTGCCCTTGCTCTCCTGGAGCTTGAGGACCTGTGTGCCCCCTTGGGGAAGATGCCAAGCCATTTGTCATGGGCCTGTTGGCCTGGTCAAGGCTGGCAGAAGACTGGGGGGTGGGCACTGCAGTCATCTCCCTGAGGTTCCAGCTGGGGGGTGGCCTGAGTGCTGTGGGGCAAGGCTGGGCACGTGCCTTAACCAGGGGATGGCTCTCTTACAGGTTCTGAGCCCTGTGTGGTCTGCCGCCGGACATCACACACTTTGCTCCATGTATGCTGCAGCCAACAGGGCAGACGGTTACGAGACCTCCACCCGGGACTGCGTGCTGCAGCTGACCAGCTCCTGAGAAGCTCGTGGTCATGGGTGCAAGTGGGCCACGTTCCAAGGAGGACTAAACCGGACCAGCTACCCACCTGCCCTGGAGGGCTGCTGCGGGACCTGGGCACTCGATGCCCTTAGGCTGGCCATGCATCCTCTGTCACTAGGCCTTGGAAGGTGAGGCACGGCCATGGTCTGAGGGGCCCCATGGCCTGTCCTAGCGAGGGCTGGGAGACCCCAGCACCCAGCAGTGCCCCATTGCTTTCTGCATTGTTATGGTCTGTGCTTGGAAGCAGGGACTTCTTCCCCCTGCAGTCGATCTGTTTCTAGCAGGTACTGAAAGAGCAGCGCACGGCAGGGCCCCTCTCCCCTAAGCACTTGCTTTATGGTGGCCATCTTGGCACCAAGAGACTTGGCAGGCCAGCATACTGCTGCCTCCTAGTGGGCAGCGTGGTTAAGCGCTGCACCTCATTACACCAGGTACCCCCCCCCCCCTTCCCCCCCGGGTGTGCTGGGCGTCCCAGGCAGGCCAAGCGCTTGCCTGTTGATAAAAGGCTTCATGTACTGTAACTGCCATGTGACTTTGTTATTATTCTGCCTGAACCTGACCATCCTCAAAAGGAAGGGAAGTGATGCAGAGGTGCCCATTCTGTTCTCTGAACATGCCTTCATGCTCTTCCTCTCTGAGTTGACCGTCGACCATGTTGGGGGACAAAGAGGGAACCAGGATGACCATGTTGAGGGACAAAGTGGGAACCAAGACAGCCCTATATACTGAAGTCAGAACACGCCCTGAGAAGGGCCCTGGTCGGCAGGGCTGGGAGCAAAATGAGTGGGTGCTCCCTGGGGGTGGGGTGGCTTGGGAGTGACAGCGAGCAGGGCTTTGCAAGCAGGGGTCAGCCCTCACCCTCTCCCCAAGGCCAGGAGCTGGAATTCATGCTGGAAAGATCAAGAGGTCTGGAGGTAGTGACACAGTAAGATCCATATCTTTTGAAATAAAGATTTCTTTTACTTGAAACTCAAAGTTCCAGAGAGAGACCGAGAGCTCTTCCAGCTGCTGATTCACTTCTCATCTGGCCACAACAGCTAGGGCTGTGCCGGGTTGAAGCCAGAAGCTTCTTCTGGTCTCCCACACAGGTGCAAGCGCCCAAGGATTTGGGCTATTCTCCACTGCTTTTCCAGGCTCATTAACAGGGAGCTGGGTCAGAAGTGAAGCAGTTGGGACAAGAACCAGTGCCCAAAAGGGACATTGGCTATGCCACAGAGTCAACCCCAAGATTAATGCTTTAAGAATGGTGGGATTAATCTCCAGCTGGGAGAAGGCTGGGTGGAAGGCAGGCAGCAAGGAGGCCCTTGGCAACACCCAGTGGAGATGGAGTCACATGGATTTGTGGGCAGGGAGGGACCAGCCCAGAACCCGTGTAGAGGGCACTAATTGAGTTGGTCATAACCGTGAAGCTGAGGCCTGGTGGATGATGTCCTTGTTTCTAGCGAGGTGGGGTTTACCAGATGGGGCTTTGTTGGTGTGAAGGTGGAGGATGCCCAGATATGGGTAG